TCTGCTGCAGCTCCTGCTGCCTTGCTAACATGTCTTGCTCTGTCTCCTCTGCAGCTGTCACAGTGGTGAACGAGGATGTCCACCCCCGGCAGTATCTAATGTGTGGTCAGACAGCCCAGGTGAAGCTGAAGAATGTGGTGCCGCATGACATTGGGGACCCAGGTGAGGGGTCCATCTAGGCCTGGTGGGAGGCAGAGGAGGGTGCAAGGCTGCCCACACAACTTCCTTGGCGTGATTAAGTCCCAGGCTGTAGGAAATAGGTATGGTGCATGGAATATACTCTTTGTTGTTTGATAAGCATTGGAATAGGCTGCTCAGTGAAGTGGTGGAGTGTGTACCTCCCTGGCGGTGTTTAAAAGACATGTGGATGTAGCATGTAGGGACATGGTTTCGTGGTGGACTTGACAGTGCAAGGTTAATGTTTGGACTTGATCTTGGAGATTTTTTTCCAAACTTAAATGCTTCTACGAGTATGTTTTCTGGGAATGAAAAACTGGATGGTTTGGGGTGGCAGTGAAGACTGACCCTTGTACAAGGGAGACAGAGTGAAGGTGAGCAGTAGCAGCAGGAAGGCTGTTCTTGCTAGAGATGACACAGGGTAAAACATTATTCCTGTGCTCTTTGATCACATCACCCTTGTTTGTTGCTTGCTGTCATGCTGCATCCACTCTATCCTTACTCCAGGTGATGAGCCGTGGCAGCGTGTCAATGCCTACCTGATGCACGACACAGCTGACTGGAAGGATCTCAACCTGAAGTTTGTGCTGCAGGTGTACCGTGACTACTACCTGACACACGACTCTCTGTACTTGCGGGACATGTGGCCAGTCTGCCAGGTACTGGGAGGAGATCAGTACCATGGGGAATCCCGCTTTCTCTCTTCTCTTGGGAGCCAAGTGACTTCCCAAGAGGATGGATGCTTCCAGAACATAAGGGCTGTGTGACTATCTCCTGCCTCTCCTACAGGCTGTGATGGAGTCAGAGCTGAAGTTCGACACCGATAATGACGGGCTCATTGAAAACGGTGGCTTTGCTGACCAGACGTATGACGCGTGGGTGGTACATGGAGCCAGGTGAGCAAGAGAGGCAGGTGGGGTAGCTCAGAGGTGGGCCCCTGGTCCCCATTTGTCATGGATGCTCTGTGCAACCTATGGGGTGTCCCACTTTGCTGATGCTTCTCTCCTTTGGCTCTGGCAGTGCCTACTGTGGCGGGCTATGGCTGGCTGCTGTCTGCATGATGTGCAAGATGGCAGAGGTGCTTGGGGATGCTGAGGTCCGGCAGAAATACATCAACATCCTGAGCAAGGGCAAGGAGGCATTTGAGAGATTGCTCTGGAATGGTGGGTGCTCACTAGTGGGAAATTACATTCAGCTGGCCACACATCCCTTGGGAGAGAGATGGCTTGTCCTTGGGTCAGAGAACCTTGCAGGGGGTGGGGGAGGGAAGTGAAGTACTGTCCCTCCAACCTGGGGAGAAGGGAGAGAGAAGCTGCCCCTCCAAATGGAGGGGAAGGAGCAGGTATTGGGGAGGGAACAAAAAGGGATGATGGTGTGGGAAAGGAATTAAAAGAATCTTGTGGAAAAAGCTGCTCTGCTCCTGCCACACAGGGAGGCGTGTAGGCACAGCATACACAAGCTGCTGACCTAAACTATCAGTTTTAAACTGTTTCCTGCCTTTTCCAGGAAAATACTACAACTATGATAGCAGTGGGAGTGACACCTCCAGCAGCATCATGTCAGATCAGTGTGCTGGGCAGTGGTTTCTTGGGGCCTGTGGCCTGGACCAAGGGGAATATGAGGTAAGAGAAGAGGCAGCCTGGTGTGGTTAGGGTGAGATGGGACCTGCAGCAGGAGAGAAACAGCAGCAGGGCTGGCATCTGGAGGGGATTACATGTTAGGGGCTGGTGCAGGGGACAGCAGCCTGCTCTCCCAACAGCAGTGCATACTGTGGTGGTGGGTGTTGGATGGAAATTCATGCAATCCACCTTAAGCCAAAATCCACTCAGGGAGAGGTCATGCAGCAGGGGTGTGTAATGACAGTCAGCTTTGGCACCCTTGGAGGAAGGTTCCACTGGGGTTTGCAAGATGCCGTTTGTTTAAAAATAAGAAAAAAGTGAAACTTGCCACCTATCATTTGCTGCCCTAAAAAGCTCCTTAATAAATATCTGAGGGCACTAAGGCTTATTCAGGGCCCTAAAATCTGTTGCTCTTCAGCTGCAAAAGAATTGGCTGCAGATTCCTCATGTCAGGTGGGATGATAAAGAG